GTACAGTGGGATGCAAAAAGTATTCGCAGGTGTGTATGTTAGCTACGCTAGTTAGTAGCTTAACTTAGCTTATGTACTCGAGACTAGGTTATTCCGCTGATCTCGGTGTAATATAAGGGTATTGAGAACCTGACAAGCTACCCCTAACTAGCTTCCGAGCAACAAACCTATCTACACACCTGCGAATACTTTTTGCATCCCACTGTACGAGGTGAATTATCAAAAAGGTTCCGTCCATGGGCTAAGAGCTTAAGGCCAGCGGAGCATTGGAAGACCCACATTGGCCTCCGATTGGTGGCACGGACGAAAGGAAGAAGGCCGAACTGGTGCATGGATGCCGATGAATGAAAACTTTTCAAATGCTATATTGAAGATGGAAAGACTAATCTTATGATGCTAAAGGTCTACCTGACGGTGTGTATCACAACTGGCTAAGGGTAAGGTATGTACCTCGCAGTAGATGGTCACCATGCCCGACTTCCATAGCCAATTTAGGCATAGAAAGGCCGCTATAGGGTAATACACTGTCAATTACGTCTTCGTCGTGGCCCACGAGCTATCAAGTGCTGAGACCCTGAAGGAAGTTAATAAGTCAAGCTGTAAATCCCAGCATTTGCGTTACTCAAATTTTGGTTTTATATGGAAGGAAATGTCGGATCATGTCTTCAAATTAACTAACATCACATTTACCGAGGCATCGGTTCGACTTTCCCCGCTGAACAATAAACCTCAACATAGGGCGCCATAAGATGAGAACAGATGCGTGACAATTTAAAGACAGTAGAAAGAGAGCAAAGAATCTGATGATTCATAATCACAAGAATACTAAACAATTTCCTACTCTAGTTCGATCAAGGTTTATTTCTGAATTGTAATTGCCAGCTTATTTATCCCTTAATGTTTCGGCCGTTGAAGATGACTTTATTTTAATTGTAAAACCAATACATGGCTGCGTAGGAAGTGCTATCAACTCCTTTCGTCTTGCATCCGTGAGAAGCACCGCTGGCTGTCAGAACACGGTAGACAAAAGAAATTCCGTGGCTGCCGCCAGCATCACCAAGGAAGAGCCAGTCCACAGCACCAGTGCCATCGGGTCCAGACGGGGAAGAACCAGGAGCTTTGATGCCGTCAATCTTCTTTGCAATCAGAAGTTGACAAGCCTTGTCAAGGTCGAAAGTCGGAACACCGACAGAGTTGAAGTAGTGATGGCCAAGGTAGGAGATCTTCTTTGAAAGGCTCCTAACCTTGAGATCCTGTTTCTTGGGAAACGGTTTGATGGGGGAGGCTCCGATACCATTTTCATTGAGATTCAGAGGAACATTCAGCGTGTTTAGAACCTCACCTGGGACCGAAGCCCATTCGGCTTGGGTCAGAGATGAGTGGCCTTGTCCGGGGTAGAGATGAGTGACATCGTAAAGGACAGCTAGAGCACCAACAGATGTAGGAGTGGTGTCGGTATCGGCGCAGGTGTAGTTTTGAATACCAAAGCCAAGCGCGATATGCTTGAGAGCCGCTCCCTGAGACGGTTCAGGGAGCTCAGAAGCTGTAGGCTACGTCAGTTCAACTGAAATCTTTTCATATGTCTACATGGCGGACTTAATTCTTACCACCACCATTGCTTGGAAGGGTGGGATTTGGCTTTGCGGGTATGCCACTTTGACTTGGACATAACTTATCAATTGGCGGCGAAGCCAAAGCAAAAGCAGCTAAAGTAAAGGCGACGGAAAGCTCAGCTAGCATGGTGACACTGGGTGCGTAATAGTGTCGGAAGGCGAGCGATAATATTGTGGACGATGTGACTAAATAAGGGAGAATGGGTTAAAAGATGTGGTGATCTTTATAATAGTAGCAGCCGTAAGAGCAGCATTACAAACACGGGGCATTTCTTCGTAAGTGCTTATTTGATGAGTGATGAACCAAACAAGCATTCTCAATCCCGCCCTGCTTGTGTGTCCCAAAACAATTCCCTGAGTGGTGTATGTTGAAATGAAGCCCCGAATTCAATCATAATTTTGCTTTTCTAAGGTGTTGCCCCTTGGCAGCCTTCAGCTACTACCTGTACCGGTCGCGGATCAAAGGGCTAGCAATGCTGCTACACAAACAAACTCCAATTCCCAGAGCCGTCAGCCCCATTCGTTTCTCAAGGGATCATCGTCTAGTAAACACCATCGCAGCCTGTAGGGTGGCTGGGGGTATAGTGGGGCAGGTACATGCTGCGGGTATATTTCTTCCAGGCACCCTTTTTACGATTGGTTATGGCGGGTCATTTTATCTAGTTTTTCCTGCCCAATTAGACCGATACAAATTTTGTTAGGTTTTACTGTGAGGGGTATCATAAAGAATGATGTGACATTTCTTTACCCTCAGTTGCTGCCCTATAACTCTACCAACATAAACCTCAAGGATTACCGCAGGTTTACTTCCCATTATGTCTGGAATCTTTGCGCTATCTCAGGAGGTTTGGGATCGTATCCTTAATTATCTTGATTTGGGCAACCTCGCCAGCGCGTATGAATGTAACATACACATACGCAGCCGTGTGGAAAAGTTCTTTTCGAACTGTTACTATACATCAAAACCAGACACACCTGCGGGACCGTGCGGCGACCCATACCAGATTATTCAAAGATTCTTATCTCTTTTTGATAGTCAAGCCTATCTAGCAGCTGACGAGATCCTGGCCCAGTTGCACAAGAGTTCGGATCGTGGCGGACCGTGGTGGAAAGAGGCTGTGGCAATAGCGCTTATGGCACGACGCTGCTATGATGCATCCGAATATTTTTATTTGTCCAGTCTTGAAAACCTCCCTTCGGAAAAGGATACAAAACGCAACGCGTTTTTGACTGCAGCACGTTTTGGCCGGGACCCGGAACCTGGTGCAGAATTGAAGCCGGACGATAAATGCTGGGCATCTACCTGGATGGCTTATCATGGTAAAGTCAATGATATAAAAGCCCTAGAAATGAGTGGGGAGCAGTTCATAAACGTCGAAGCCTACAATCCGGCCACCATGGCGGCCATATCTGGGCACATCGATACCTTGAAACATTTGCATTCTGTCGGCTTCGACTTGTGGCTACATGCCTATCAGGGTCCCAATGTACCTAGTTCACCATTGGTCGCAGCCTTAGAGCGCGGACATGAGTCGGTGGTCGAATATCTATGTGGAAATGGTAGCATACAGCGGTTGACAGATGACCAAGTCTTCCATGCCTGTAGAGCTGCTGCCAGTAACGGCCACGTTCATGTCCTTCGTCGAATAGAAAACTGCTATCCCAAGGAGACCGATGACTGGTGGTACAATCACGCCGGCGTCGGGGGTGGATTATATCCCAATCGAATTGATTGGTATATCTTCGGCCCTGAGAAACCGTTGAAAGAATCAGAACGTGCTGCCATGCTGCAGCATTTCATCCTGAAAGAGTTGTACGATATCCATGCCACCGACCGGGATGGCAACAATGTCTTACACCTTGCTGCAGCTGAAGGGAGTCTTGATTTATTCCGGCAAATATGGAATTCTGGCGCCGACGGGTATCGGC